TGATTGCTATTGTTTCAAAGTCTCTGAAAGTACTTTTAATTTTTAACATTTTTTATGTTCAATGTGCAGGGTTTGATCTGAACATAGCGCTTGGTCCTTGAGTGCCATGAAAGGCACCTTCAAATAAAATCAATTATTATTATTGTTATTATTATTATTATTATTATTACCATTTATCTGAGTTCCAGAATAAAACCATTGTAATTTGTGTGATTGCTATTGTTTCAAAGTCTCTGAAAGTACTTTTAATTTTTAACATTTTTTATGTTCAATGTGCAGGGTTTGATCTGAACATAGCGCTTGGTGACTTGATCAAATACAATTTCACATCCAATCAATGGGAAAGCAGATCGTACGGCCATTCTCCTGTAAGTGCTTTGTAATTAAAATCTGGGGGGTTAAAACCTTCGCAGTAATTAGGTTATTGTAGTGCTTGTAAAATTGTTACTTTATTTTCTGAAACAACTTCCATTTTTAGACATGTTTGTAAACATTACCAAATGAAGCTCTCATATTTAATGTTTAAAATAAAAAGTGCTGTAACTTTTTTTTTGTCTTTCCTCGGCTCTTTTGTGTTAGTTGGCTCGTCATTCGCACACAGCTGTGGAATACATGGGTAATATGGTTATTTTTGGAGGGGAATTGGCTAATGGCTCCCTGGCCAGTGATGTTTGGATGTACCGGCCACTCCAAGATGACTGGCAGCAGCTTGGATTTTTCAAAACACGAGGTGCTCCTAAACTGGCTAATCATGCTGCAGCAGTCGTTGACAGTTATCTCTACATTTTCGGAGGTGAGCTAGATATTATATTGTCACTTTAATGACAATGCATTAATCATTAGAGAACTAAATTTTGTGTAAATTATGTTCCCAGGGCGCACTGAGGAGGATATGTTTTCCTCGACTCTGTATCGGTTTGGTTTGCACGGTTCAGGGCGGTGGGAAACTGTTCAGCCCACCGGTGGCAAACCCCCCGCATCTGCTGGCCACTCCATGGTGTTCCACAGCCCATCCAGGACATTATTGGTCTATGGAGGTCACAGGCCCACCACTGCGAGGTACACACATCTTCATGCATACCAGTGTTGTATAAAGTACCACAAAGTGATACTTGAGTAAAAGTACAAGTATCTTACCAAAAATGACTTTGGTAAAAGTTAAAGTCTCCTTTAGGAATATTACTAGAGTAAAAGTACAAGTATTTTACCAAAAATACTTTGGTAAAAGTTAAAGTCTCCTTTAGGAATATTACTTGAGTAAAAGTCAAAGTATCTGATATTTTTTATACTTAAGTATTAAAAGTAAAAGTACTGATTTAAAATGAGCAGTTAGATTT